CGCTATATAAATCCAATCCATTATTATTATTATTATTATGACTCTAAAATTTATCAGTGTTTTGTATCATTTCCTTGTGGTTCTGTCATTTATTGTCTCATCTTAGTCTTTTTGCAGGTCTTCTGGCCTTGCACGTATACACAATCTGTATCTGAAATTCCACAGTTTGTCAGTAGGTGAAGGCAAAAGACTGGTATGTTCAGCTGCTGAGCGTTAAGTGACAGGTGTGTTTTTTGTGTTCAGGCAGTGACTGGGGGCGAGGGTCTGCCTGTGGCGGTCCAGTGTGTTGCTCTGCCGTGGCAGGATGAACTCTGCCTGCGCCTCATGAAGGAAGTGGAACAACTGGTCAAACAGAGCAAGAAGTAAAGCTGCTTTCTTTCTGAGTCTCACATGAAAGACTGCAGACTTCAGAGGAGACATGTTAACTTGAGTTTTTCCCCATAAATGCTATTTAAATGTGTCAAAGGGTTGAGCATCCTCTGCACTGCCAGTAGGGTTGACTGGGGTTGGTTGTCACACTGTTTCACTTGCATGCATTGTTGATTATTGAAACCCTTATATAGGATTGGTTGTCACAAGTTTTGGGCTTTGTTGTCACTTTGTTGCAATTATCAAGTGAGCTTCAGTTAAAAAAAAATGTACAAAAAAAATGTAGACTTTTTTTCAGATTGTAAGTTTGGAAATGGACAACATATAATGCCCTTTGTATTCAAACTGTGAGTTTGAACCAGTGATAATTATTGTGAATGTATTTTATGAGCAATGGAATTAAGGAATTTACAGCACGTAATAAAATTAGCCAAAAAAACAACAGAAGAGAGCAGCTTCCACATTCCACGACTGTATTTTGAACTCATGTATTATTGATATTATTGAGAAAAAAAGTTCCAGAAGTTCCATATAGCTTTTAGAAGACAGGCTTTTTGTTCAAAACTTCCCAACAGGTAACCGGAGCAGTAGTGAGCAAGGAAGTTTAAACATGTGAGAATTAAAACTGACTCAACTGCTCCATGTTTTAAGTCTTGATGCACGCTAGATAATAAAGGTTTCTCCGTTTTAGGGTTGCTAGTCTTGATCTA